CATAACAAATCAACAACAATACTGAAAATAGAGTCCAACTGACTAGTACACTGGCACAACACCTGCCAGGTGATTATAAGTCCAGAGATGCAAAGACTTCACAATTGTAATAATGCTCAGACTAGTGGAAGTTGCATTGTATACAACTATTAATAGCACAGAAATATCATTAAGCACATTTTTCTATTATTACTCTTTTAACTCAGTATTTACTTAAGGGTTAAATACAGAGATTGAAATGAATCTCAGAGTGAGATTGGCATCTTGTATGGCAACTATTATGAAACAGTGAAGATTTTTATGACATTTGTTTTTCCCTGAGGAGTTGAAATGTCTCAGGAAGAGATGCCATGTAATACTCTGTGACAATAGCATTCTTTAGGCTGTACTGGGGACAATGTCTTACATTTTAGGTATGCACCTCTTTCAATTTAAAGAGATTAAGACTACTGCAAAATTATGATACTAACATTCCATTATTATAAATGAATAGAATGTGTAGTTGAAAGGAGTCTAAGGTATTGATTGTAGTCTACATTTTTTTCACAAAGATTTATTTTTATTCTATGTGTAAATATGAATGCCTGCATTTAGGCATGTGTAGGACACACCTGACTCTTGTGCTCACAGAGGAAAGACAAAGGTGTTGGATCCCTTAGAACTGGAGTTATTGGTAGTTGTGAGTCGCCATGTAGATACTGAGAAACAATCTCTGGTCCTAAGCAAGAACATCAACTGCTCTTAACCACTGAATCATCTCTCACCCCATCCTATAAATTTTTTATAAAGGATTCTTTGAGAATTTCATACAATATATTTTGACCACATTCATATCTCTTTTCTCATTTCACCCCCCAAATTCTTGGTCCCTAAACATATCTATTTTTTTCTTTTCTAAAGAGTCTATTTGGTGTTTTTCTAAAGAGCCTATATTGAGTCTAGTTGGTGTTTCCTGAATACTCTTGGATATAAAATCTATCCCTTGGAATCTAGTTAATCTATAAGTCTTCACTCTTAAAGAATATTGACTGTCTCCCAACAGCTATCAGTTGCTTGTACATTCTCATTTAGGACTGGGGCATCTTGTCCAACTTCCCCATCCATGTTGTGTTTTTGTCTGGCTTGGGCTTGCACAGGTCTTTTTGTGCTGTCACAAGAGCTATGGGTTCATATGAGCAAGTACCTTGTGGTATCCATCAACATGGTTTCCTTGTATTCAACAACCATCTCTGGCTCTTGCAATCTTTCTACCCCTCTTGTGCAATGATCCTTGAGCCTCGGGAGGAGGTGTGATATAGGTATCCCACTTAAGGCTAAGATCTTCATAGTCTCTTATTTTGTGCGCACTGGCCAACCATGAACCTTTGTGTTAATCACTGTCAGCTGCAAGAAAATGCTTCTCTAGTGAAAAATGAGAGAGCACTAATCTATGTATGCAACAACAAATCATCAAGGGTCAGTTTAACACTATGTCTAGTTACCTGAATAATAGTAATAAGCTCTCCTCTATAGCCTATGACCTGTCTAGCCTAAAATTCTTGGTCCTGATAACAGTGCCAGGTATGGGCTCCATATTTTGAAGCAGGCCTTAAATCCAACCAGAAAGTGGTTGGGTACTCCTAGAACATTAATGCTACTATTGCACCAGTGGGCATATCTTTCCAAGTCAGACAATATTTTAGTTCACAAAGTTCACACCTGGACATGTTTGATGATTGCCTTTTTTTTCTAGTAACATGCATATTCCCATCTGGTAAAAGGCAGCTGATAGAGATAAAGCTTTAAGGTCAATACCAGCTTGATTTCTCCTTATTTGTTCTATGACTCTGTTTGCAATATCTACAAATTCATATATGCACATATTCTGAGAGGTCTTTATTTAAATCAAAAGACTTAGAGGTTCCCAAAATAATTTTAATCAAATTCTATCTAGATTTATACATTGTTGATGTCATCATTTAACACTAATCTCTTTTAACAGTGATATCATTGTCTTCTAATATGTATTTAACATACATAAAATGTATTTTATTCTACTTAACACTGTTTTTATCCATAAATTTTGTAAATCAGTTGCACATACAATGCAAAGCAATTTTATGATAATTGATGTTGATAAAATAATTGAGAAAATCTCAATTTCTAGGTAACTTAATTCTTAGCTGAACCTCTTAGAAAATTTGCTCTACTTCACTGACAATGTGTAGGACATTTAAAATAAATGCCATATCCAATGTCTGAGAGTTCCTTACTAAATTATATATAAAAATACTGCACTAACTTTTTCCATATGGATTTTCTATGATTTGTACCTTTTATTTAATAGATTTAACAATTTTTATTGCAAATTTCTTATGTTATTTACAAAATTATTTGGTAAACCTTCCTATTTGAAGTCAAATTTTTATTAAGGTGAATATGTGTGAGACCTTTTGTTCATCTAAATAACAAAGGATTATTTTGTTCTTTTAAGTGTATTGACTTTTATACATGCATATGTAGTTATTTCTTATTAAGTACAAAAGATTGGTCCAGGGATCTCTATAAAGAGCAAAATATATGAATGCTGAATCTCTTATATAAAGAGAACTAGCATTTATATACAGCATGTACATCCTTGTATCAATGTTGAATAATTTCTAAGTTCTAAATAATATTTAACACAATATAATGTTATATAGTAGTTTAGGGAATAATGGCAAAAAAGTAATTTGCTGCGTGTATTTAGTACAGATATAAATGCTTTTCCAAATACTTTTTATGTTGAATCTGTGGATGTTGACCTTGCACATTTGGAGGGATCGTGTGTGTGTGTGTGTGTTTGTATGTTTGTACACATATGGATGATCTGAGGAGAGATGGCAAACAGACAAATGATACCAGCTTCCATTCTCTCTGGCATAAATGCCTCTTTGCATGCAATGAAAAGAACTTTTTACATGTGCAAAGCCATCTGGCTAGCTAAAGCAGTGATGTTCTAGGACCGAAGAGAATGGACACCAAGTCTCCTTTTTTTTCCCCTCATTCTATGGCCAGTCCTGTGGTACTGAAGGTTAATGCACTCTCACAGCAAGAGCTTTTTTGGAGAACAAAGAATTTGAATACAACCACCAACAGGAAAAGAGGGAGGAAACTACTTCTAAGCAATTCTAAAAGCTCCTGATGTCAAATTTCAGAAAATATATTTGTCTTTTGTACTTAATTCATTTTTCATAGTCTTAAAATATTCATTTTTTTTACCTTATCTTAGTTTTAATTGACATGCAATGTTTCCTTATGGCATTTTAAAACATACTGATTTTGGTGGCCCCTACCGTGCCCACCCCTCTTCTCCATCTCCCCCTCCCTATTACAATTCGCACTTGCCATTCTCGACAATTCTCCTTCCATTTCATATCAAATGTGTTCCACGCTTGCCTCAATCCTTCTTTTAGTCTTTTTTTATTACTCCCCTATTTAACATTTGTCAAAACATATTGAATAATGATTATTCTCATAGAAAAAATAACTTTATCCTGGAGAATACTGGGCCCTTTTCCAGTTACTGGGCTTCTACCTAAGGTCACAATCAGATAAGTACAAATATAAGAAAATTAGTGGTTAGGATCCATGTATGAGGGAGACTGTATCTTATTTGTCTAGCTAAACCTGAATTGCCCCACTTAAAACAGTATTTTCTAGGTCCATCCTTTTTCCTGTAAATTTCATTTTTTAAAATATTTTATTTATTATTTTTATTTTAAGTGTATGAGTGCACTGTCTACATGTGGGCAAGCGTACCTATGTTGTGCAATGGCCACGGAGTCAGAAGAGGGCATTGGAATCCCCTGGAACTGGAGTTACAGATGGTTGTTTGCTACCATGTGGATGCTGGGAATTGAACCTGGGTCCTCTGAAAAAGGACTGATGATTCATCTTTCCAGCCCTGAATTTCATTTTTACAGCTGAATGATTCATTATGTCTGTGTACCATATTTTCAGTATTTGTTCATCCTCTGATGGACATCTACAATGATTCTATTTCCTTGCTACTGTGATTACCATCACCTGTACCACTGGTGATACGGCTGTACCAGTGGGCATACACCCCAAGGATTCTATTTTCTACCAGATATTTGAATGTTAATACTTAGAGTGTTGATTTTATAGATTGCATGTGTGATCCATCTAGAGCCAAAACTGAAAGCAATCTACTTTATTGTTATTATAGCACATTTATTTCAAATAATTTATATGAATCTTACTCTTCCATAGACTCAGTGACACTTCTAATTGGTTCATAATTTTCTATCCAATGGCAAGTCCATCTTGCTAGCCAGAGACTCATCTTAAATGATCAACATATTTCTAACATATTAATTGACTATGTGCCATGAAATACTGAATGAGTGAATAAAATGGACACTTTACTTCTCCATGCTCACAAAATTATAACAGTCCTTCAAACCCCAGCTGAAGTACATTCTTTCTATACTAATCTCCCTGTCAAAAAGTACAGAGTATATTAACTCAACTTGGTTATGGTTTTCTTTTGTTTTATCCTTCAAAATTTTTTCTAGAGGGCTAGAGAAATGGCTAAGTGACTAAGAGCACTGGCTGCTCTTACAGAGGTCAGGTTTGGTTCCCATCACACACGTGGTAGATAACAACCTTCCATAACTCCAGTTTCAAGGAATCTAAAGTCCTCTTCTGATCTCCTTGGGCATTACATACATGTGGTGCACTGATATACATGCAGTCAATACATTCATACACATAAAATTTAAATGAATAAATAAAAATTTTTAAAGTTTTCTGGAGAGAAGGTTTCACTATGCAGCCAAAGATGGCTTCAAAACCGTGTAGTTTTCCTGCCTTATTCAGAGTCCTGATTATTGGGATTATAGAAGAAACCACCACATAGCTCTCTATCTTGTTCTCAATGAAGATATTTAAATACTTAGTATATTAATAGATTAAAGTTTACTACTTGTTTCAAGTTTACTACCTATTTTTTTTCACAGTGTCTGAAGGTGACTGACAGCCATGGCTAAATTATTCATGTTGTTATTTTACCTCCAAAGATTTGTTTAGCACATCAGAATTATCTTTTTTCTTGTTGTGAAAAAAAGACAATGAAGTGTGCACTTATTACCCATTTTTTATTGAACTACATATCTATCATCATTCAATTTTACTTCACACATTCTTTTGTGTTAAGAGTTTCGCAGCTAACAAACTAAGAGAAATAAATTCTTTTATTGAACTATGTATCTATCATCTTTCACTTTTACTTCACATATTCTTGTGTGTTAAGGGTTCTGTAGCTAACAAACTAAGAGAAAGTGAAAGGTGACATTTCTAATCTGTTTTATTAATAGCAGGGAAGACTCAAAAGTGTCAACTATAAAATAAACCATTTTTATTTCAGAATCTTCCTTTCCCTATAAATGTAATTTTTCCTGTCAGATACTTTTGAATCTGGTCCACACTCTATCAATCTATATATCTGTCTGTTCATGTATATGTATTCTTTATTTAAAATTTTGTTCTTATTGAATTTTTGTGTATTTCACACAGAATATCTCAAACAATCTTAATCATCTTTATGCTTTCATCCCCACCTGCACCCTCCTGTAGCACCCCACACTGGAACCCCTATACTCTGTCAACCCTGTTAAGGCTCACTGTGTCAATTCAATGTCCCCAGATGTTCCCCAGTGTAAGTCCATCCATTGAGGTCTAGTCAACCTATCTACAGTCACTTATTTTCAGAAGATCAGCTCTTCTTCACCTAGCAGTAATCAATTGCCAATATTTCTTCAGCCATGATTAGCTGTTCATTTTCCCAGTTCTATGCTGGGTTTTTGTCTGCCTAAGTTCACATGGGACTTGTGTATGCTTATACCATTGCTATAGAATAATATGATCAGGGTCCCAGGAAGTTGTAGGACTCTGTTTCCATATGGTCATGCACATCCTCCCTGGCTGTATTCTTAAAATATAAAACAGTTTTGTGATTTAAGAATCAATATAAGTTGTACCAAATAGCATACAATCTTTAATATATGATCTAGTTAGATAGCAAAGCTTAAAAATATACGGTGCATATAGATCTATACCACCTCTTCTAGAAAACCAAACATTATGAAAAATAACTCATAAGCATTTTCTCTGAACCTAGCAATATCCTAAATAAATTACATAATTTTTCTCATTATCCTTCACAGTAAACCTAAAACATGCTATAAATGTTCTATTACTACTTACTTACTATTAAGTAAGTATAAAGTATAAAGTGACACCCTTGAGACTCAAGGCTTAGCAGACAGATCCAAGATAATCTCTTACAGTCTTTTTACTATGCACAGAGATTGATGTGAACAACCAAACATTTATTAGTTATTATAGATTAATTTAAGAGTATATAATATTTATGGGAGAAAAAATAAACCTATAAAAATTCAATATTCATCTTTTTTTCTGAAAGAAATTATTTATATATCTTTATGTTAATCTATATGGGTATTTTGCCAGCATGGATGTAAGGACACCACATGAGTGCAATACCCACAGATAACATACAGATGTCAGATAGCATTGCAGTTCCTCTCTGAGGTTTCGTGTACATGGGTAGGTACACACCGTATCCATATGCACATTGCTTTGCTACATTTTAGAGTAAATCTGATAGCTTAAATGCCAAATTATGAATATAAAACTAAGCAATAATATATGGGCGTATCTATATTCTTCTCCCCAAATTGTTTTGTTCAGTTGAAATTCATACTCATTTCAACTATGCTTTTTAAAATATATTTGGTCACATTTTAAATCACACAGAACACTATAAGTAGGCTATCTATTAGTGCTTATGTACTTTTTGAAGTTTTTCTAGATACTACATACTTTAATTTCAAGGTAGATATCTCTAACTACAGAGAAGAGCATCTAAGTATTTAGGGAGAATGAAGCTGTATTATGACCTAGCTGGAAACTGTTATCCTCTGTGGCACAGTATTCTTTGAGGAAGGATTGAGCTCATTGACTAAATGTATTATATTAGCCTCCCTTGCATCAGATATGACAGCCCAAATCTCCCTAACAGCAGAGAAAAGAAAGGAACAAATTCACAAAGGAAAACCTGGTTTTTCTCTGTAACTTTCTCAAAAATTATTGGGGAATTTTTATAGAAAAATATTGTGCATCAACCATGTCGCAGACCCTTGGCTTTACTAATTTACCTTAAGTCATATTTTGCCAACTTTGTTAGTGATTGCTGTTTTAACTGCAAAATGAATCTTCTGTTTTCTTCTCCCACTCATTACTAAATAGACAAGGGAACAGAGCAAGGTGATAGTGCTGCAGTGTGAAACCGGCTCAGCGCAATGTGTCATCTTTGGAAGAATAGGCTTCAAACATCCATTTTTTGAGTAGCAAGTTCAGAAATATCCTTCTGCTATGGACATATTCCAAAAAATCCTCTTGAATTTCTCAGCATCTGCTACTTGAGGGAAATTGATATAATGGCATTGAAACCCTATACCCTTAAGAATTTAAAGCAAGTTGGTTTTAATAGTAATTTTTATAGGTTTGTTATGTTTTGACACATTTAAGCATTGCATTGTTTTTATAGAATGGTTATTATTTCCTAACATTTGATATTTTTAGCAGCTAGACCATTCTTAGTAACAGATCAGTCAATCAGCAATCAGTCTTTTTTGAAATCAAAATAGTATTTTTGTACTAGTAATAAACAAACCCTTCCTTCAGACATGTTCCATTCACCCATCACATTTTTGAAATAAAATCATTTCACTCATATTACTACATTTCTAATATATTTATTGGGTTCAATTAAGAAATTTACACTTTCTGCATCTGTAAATTGTGTAAAATTTATCTTCTGTAATTATTCATAGAACTGTGGTGAGAACCTAGCTTCAACTATTTGATAAAACAAATTAATGTAACTTTGTTGTTATTATGTTAACTTTCCATTTCATAGTTTTGTAGCATAATCATCTCATTACTGTTAAACAACCTATAGTGTCAAACAAATTATTCTTTTAAACAAGTTATTTACTAGCATGAATTAAAAGGTTAAAAAGTGTCTATAGTTTATTTGGCAAGCAACAAGAGATGAGAGTCTGAAATATTTATCTTAAGCTTCTGAGTTTAAACGTTGAACATTTGCCTCTCCAGATTATCTTCAAAATCAAATAACAAACAGTCTGCTTTGACATCTTTCCTCTGTTGTGCACACATCTGCTATAACATAGTGAACAGGCACTTGACAGAGACCTGTAGAAGGATGTGTGTAAATAAACCAAATTTCAAGTTGAAGGCTATTAACTGTATCTCAGTATTAAACTGGATATGTTATATTTATTGTAGTATCTTTTTGCTAAATAACTCTAGTATATTTCAAATACTGGCTCTGTGATGGAAGTTCCAGAGCATGTGAAATCTTACTGCCTACTGTTACTAAAGCTCATCTAGAAAATTAAATGTCATGTCACTCTGCAATGTTAAAGACTAAATTTAATTACACATAGAGGCAAAATTTCCCCCAAATAATTAAAATAACAACCAGTTTAATAATATTATTTTTGAAAACTTTAACCTCTATCACAGGGTCAGCTTCTTCTCAATTCAAAGACTTTGCCATATTTCTTTTCAGCATATTTTATATGTACCTGTTTTCTATTCAAATAAGTGCACTTCGGCAGATATATTAGCTTCCCAACCTATAATAAAGACAGAAATCATCCACTCCTATCAATTTTCTTACTGAAAAAAATATCACAGTTGTAGATTTAATAGGTTATAATATGTAAAGGACTCGTTTTGACCTCTCATGCAGCAGATGATACACAGTGACACCATAAAGCGCACGCATTAGCCATGAACTCTCAGCATTTTAATTGTGTTCATGATAGTTGATGTTGATTCTATTTTTAAATGTCACTGATGGTCACTATTGGTAATAAGCCCATTCAGTTGTTTAACTGAAGATTTAATTTCTGGTCATTCTTTGTCCCAAGAACAGTTCTTAGGTTTCCCTTTGAATGTAGAAAGGAAGAATTTAAAAATGCAGCATATAGAATGATAAGAAGAATTATAGCAAAAGAACAAAATGTTGCTGATTAGATTTTGTCAACTTGACACAAGCTAGAAACACCCGGGAAAAGGACATTGTTGTTGAGGAATTTACTCCATCAGATTGGCCTGTGGGCATATCTGTGGAGCATTTTCTTGATTGCTGAGGGCCATGCCATCCCTAGAGCAGGTGGGCCTGGGCTGTATAAGAAAGGTAGCAGTGGATGAACTCACTCCATACTCTGCTCTAACTAAATGTGGATTTCCACAAGCTGGGAACAGAGGGACATTTGGGGATACAAACTTGACTCGATAGACTTTAACCTATAAAACAGAATGCAAAAAATCTGGTAGGGGAGGTAATGTCGAGTACAGATAAGGGAGGAGATCTAAATATAATTAAGATTATGAAATGCACAAAATTCAATAAAAACAGATAAAGAAAGTAAAAACCAAAGAACGAAAGGTAGCTGAGCAAGTCAAGAGAAAGCGAACAAAGTAATGTTTCTCTGTGGTCTCTGCTTCAGCTCTTGCCTCCAAGTTCCTGCCTTGACTTCTCTTGATAATGGTCTATAACTTATAAGTCAAATGAACTCTATCCTCCCTGAGTTGTTTTGAGTTATAGTGTGCATCTCAGCAACAGAAACCAAAGTAGGATGTGAAAAAACAAGGATATGAATGTTATGCTTGGGATAAAGAACCACTTATCCAGAATCCTTGGAGTATGCAAATATATCCCTGACAGGTTTTCCAACTCAAGTAGGATTTTCACATAATGGAAAAGAAGGTCCTACATACTTTGGTCTCAGAATCCATATTTGTAGCATTTGATGTTACGGCTTTCATCCATACTGTACTGTAACTAAGTGTGGATTTCCACAAGCTGGGAACCAGCCTTGGTGGTCCCTTGTCTTCCTCAGGTTTGAGCTTTGACTCTCAGTTGTTACACTGTAATGTTTTTGTCATTTGCTACCCACATGTTTTAAAAATTACTGTTGGATAAATACATCACCCAGAAAGTCAAATAAATTCTAAGGATTTGTCAA